AAAAACAGAATTAGATCAAAAGAAAATGTAGTCTTCATACCCTCTATGCATTAACTGTTAATAAATATATAAACTTTTGATATGAGCAAAAATGTGTGTTGGAGGGGACATCTTTGTAGTTTCATGATTGATACTCAATGTAGTCAATAGTATCTAAACTAATAAGCTTTCAAAAAATAGTAAAGGATGCTATTTGGAAATATGAGGTGAACACCAGAAGACTCAGCTAAAATTAATTGATGATTATACTTCTGGGAAAAGGAGTTATCACTGGGATGTGAAGAGCACATGTTCTTAATTTTTATTAGGAGTCTTGAACATTTCTTTGACCTTCAAATCTTTGGGCATACAGTTGCTTACAGAATTTAGCAAAAACATTTTAAAATAAATATGTTAATCATGCTTTTTTCAGTGATCATTACCAGATAAATTTAAAAAGTGATATAATTACGTTTCACTCTTTTAGAAGATTCTCCTATCAGCATGCCCTAGTATGGTTATTCATAACCCTACATCTGCAGTTCCCAATGCGTTATTTGAGCATGTTTCAGCAAGATAACACGAAAGGTACGTGATTAAGACTGTACGTATGGCAAGTATTCACAAAACCTTTTTAGGTTTTTGTTTTGCATTTGGGAATTTATGACCAAAGTTATAGGTTAGAAAATAAAACTCATCTTAGAAGTCTAAACCTTATTCATGTGAATTATAACAACATTCATAACATTTACGTACAAGCTAATCTGTTAGATGCTTTTTCAAATGTGGAAAGTTGAAAGTAAAGCGAAACATCTGGGCCTAGTCTATGTCACCAAGGAAGGTCATGGATGTGCGTGTCAGTTGATCATCACGCCTTTGAGGATGGCTGACTTTGAAAACACTAACTTTCTCCTCAACAATTACCCCACACAAGTGAATGTCCACAATCACGATTGATAACATCTTTGTTGCTCTATGTTGTAACTGCAGAGTGTAGTGCTCATAAGATCTGTTTGCTCTGTAAGGGTTGTTCGGCGAAAACAAAGTGTTTAATGTCAGTTTTCAGAAGGCATATTGGGAACACAGTCGTGTTGTACAAGCGTGGCTACCATCTCCTGTCCCCATGACACTGTGGGTGAGGACCGGGAATGGCAGGAATCCTCCAATAAGACAGCATAATTCTAAACTTGTTTGTTTTGTTTTTAGTAATTTTGCTACAACCTTCTGTATGTTCAGAACTGGGGGCATAATTATTAAAAAGACAGACACGTTTCTTGCTCTCTTTCTTTTAAATCTTACTGTCCAGTTAAGTATGTCGAAATAGGGAGAAGACGGGGTTTGCCTATAATTAGAAGGGTCATTATGGCAGATAACATGCTGTGGAAAGAACTGAGAAGCGGGACCTCACTGGGACTTGGGAAGTTGGGGATGTCTTCCTGCGGAGAGCACCTACAGCCGGCTACACAGATGCAGGGGGCGGGGGGGGGCAGGGGAACAGAGCAAGGCAAAACAGGAGACAGAAACAGCCAAGACTCCAGCATTTATGTAGAGCAGATAATGTCTATGGGTCGAAAACTGCGCGATGCTGGAATGTTGATGGGTGTTTGGTTTGGATTTGCCCAAACTCACACTCTAAGACGAGGTAAGACACCAGTCTCCTGGGCGCAGTGGGTTCTTCCAGTTTCTCATCTGCATTCTCCCCAGCAGCAACAGGGAAGAGGCAGCTTCTCTTCCTCAGCAACTTTAGGGAAAAGTCTGAGGCTCTGACAGGAACCGTGTGGAGCCCGGAGCCTGGCGTCCTGGACAGACCATGGAGCGCTCTGGCTCTGCAGAGGTTGGGAAGGGCCCTTGCACACACGAAGAAACAGGGGGAGGAGGCCTTCCTTAGGAGACCCCGCGCCTTTCCTACCCAAATAGGGCACGTGGCGGCAGGCAAGATCCACAGGCGGCTCTAAAAGTGGGGAGTCCTTCTGTGAATACTTGTTTCACGCTTGCAGATACAGATGTAGGAACGAACAACTGTTTTCACAGGCTCCACCCCGACTTTCCTGAGTCAGAATAGCGCTAGTTTGGAAAGGATGGGTGCAGAGGAAAAGCTGGAACCATCCACAATTGAGCTTTCAACATATCATGAACACTCACCAGGAAAGACAGCAGTGTTTCCTAACCCACACTGGTTCACAGCATCTTCTTCATGTAATTTGGAAAGCTGATGAACTTCATAGAGCCACTCCGTAGAAAATTATTTGTACATACAGACTTCTTTCCAGGGCTTCACAGTCCATAGGGAGCTTGAGTGAAAGCCCCAATCTGGATGGACTGAATCTTTCCAAAGCCTTGGGCCCCTTTGCAAGTGAGAAGATAGTGTTTTTCATAGTTATGAAACAGGAATGGGATTTAGATGAATTTGTTGATTGTTATTTTTAAAATGTTTTAATTATAAAGATCCATAAATACTAAACACTATTTTCATACAGTATTCTTGTTCAATTCAGCATCATAATCTTAAATCAAGGCAGATAAACTGTGTTCAATTTCTGGTGTGGATACAAGGGCAAAAATTAAGTCTTTCTGAAGCTTTGTGATATTATTTACTCCCATAATAAAGAAGGCAGCTTGCTGTCTAATAAGCTGTGGCCTTAGAGGTTGCTTTATCAATTTGTTGATCCCTTGGAGGAAAAAACACATTTTAAAAACAAATCTAAGAGTAAGACATACATGAATGCAACCCATTTACACTGGGAGTGCATTTCTATACTGCGCCAAATAAAGTAAGAATTTTTTAGAGAAATTTATTCCTTCTACCTTGCCTTCTCTGAATAATACACCATTCAAGAATTAAATATATTTATGCCTGCAAGAAACATGTTAGGGTTTCTCTGCCTTTCTATAAACAATATTATAACAACCACAAGTATGTGAAAATGGTAAAATGCTGAACTTACAGATTTGCCAGATAAAATACAAGATGCCCAGTTACATCTGAATTTCAGATAAGCCCCAATTATTATCTAGGAGAAGTATACACCCAAAGAGTATATAGGACATACTTATCCTAAAGAACTAGTTTTCCTTTTTTGAAATTCACGTTTAACTGGGCACTTTGTAAATTCATTTGAAAAATGTAGCAATCTTAGAAGATAGCAAGTGCTGTCATTTTACTCATTTGTAAGCCAACACTTGATTTCCCATATTAAAGAAGTTTTGGTATTGGCATCTTGTTTCATTGTCAGACATGTTTTCTAGCTAAAAATGACTATTTATGAACATGGGTAATGATATTTTCATCAAAGTTGTAATAGAATACTTTGAGCTTTGCCCCCAAACAGTTTCCACTAACAAACCTTTTCATTTCCAAAGAACTTTATGAAGAAAGCTATTCAGAGGTATATATTTCTTTCAGATCAATTTTTTAACATTTCACAAAATATGATTAAAAGTTGCATGTCTTCTGTTTTTAAATTGACCGATATCTTCTTTGGTATTTCAAAGGATTTGCTTTTTGAAAGCAGAAACTTTTCCATGTAAACCATAGGTAGACATTAAACCAGCAAGTCCAGAAAATGAATAATTCATTTTTAAGTAAATGAGAAATGATTTTGTGCTGTTACTTTTACATTTCCGCATTTATAGTTAAACGGTAATTTGCAACACACAGGGCATTAGTTGTGAATTGTGGCTTTCAGTATCACAGACTCAGTCCTTGCTGTGGTTTTGCAATATCGTTCCCCGATGCCCCTCTCCACTGTGGTTTTCACAATCATTGGTTGATAGTCATGTAGCTGTGGTTTGGAGTAGCAATATCCAATTGGACAGAGATAATTGCTTATAGGTTTTGCTGTCTTTTTATTTTACAACCATAATGAGTTAAACTAAAAAACAAAAAAAGGAAAATTGGACCTTAATATTGTTCATATTCTCATTAAAAATGATGAGAAAATACAAAATGTAACAGTACTCCTTCGTTTATTTGATTCACATTGACTGTAATTAATATACATTTATAAATGTAGATAAGCTAATACGCTGTTTCTACTAAGGCATTCTGGTTATTTTATCAGTCTTTCCTTACATTTCCTGACGTTTTTGCTTCAGCTTTCAAGCTGAATATTTAGTTGAGATTTATTTGTTTCTCTTTTGGTTTGCATATTTAACCGTGTCAAATGCCAAAAGCAACACTGTTATGCTATTTTAATTCCAGTGGGCAATTCCTTTTGGGTGACATAAAAAGCTAGCCAATTCTGTAAAAGATCTTGGAAAACCGTACTATCAAACACCTCTGATTCCAAAATTCTAAGCACACCGATTTAATCCTAATGAACTGGGAATGAAGGAGCTAAAAATCTGTAGTTCTGTCTGCTTATTCATTCCACCACACAAGCGCAGATAACCCTGCTTTTCGTGGTACTTCGGACCTTCATTTGTTGGCTCTTAGGGGAGGGACTTTATCATTGGATGCATTTTCACCGAAAAGGTCCGTGTCCTGTATTCCCACAGCCTCTAGGGTAACAACACCAGTGGCAATCGATCCGCAATTGGGCTTCTGCTTGGTTCCGAGTCTCAGGCCACCGGTCCACCGGGCGCCTCTTCACACCTTGCAGAGCTGCCCTGACGGTGGCACCGGGCCCTACTCGCCGCCCGGCGTGGGGCTCCATCAGCTAGCGCCGGGCTGACCCACACCTTAGCGCGTCACCGTGGGGCTCACGCGGATGCCGGTCACGCGGGGCCGGGGCGCTTTCAGGGCCTCGGGGGAGGCGGCTGGTCAGGGGCCGCGCAGGGTGTATCCGCAGATCCGGGCCGCCGGCGGGGCCGCGCGGCCGGGCAGCGGGCCCTCGCCCACTCCGAGCGTGGCGACTCCGTGCAGGCGAGCCCGAGCCCGCGCTGCCGCTCTCAGGCCCCGCCGCGACCCGGTACACTGACCTCACGCGTCCTCCGTCCGCGCTGCGCCCGCCGCGCGCGGTAACTGGATGGGGCGAAGCAAACTTTGGGAACTCGGAGCCGCGGCGCAGCCCGGGCCTTACCTGCTGGGAAGTACGCAGGATCGGACCTGCCGTGCCGCTCGCTGCTCCGGCGCGGGGAGTGGGCTCGGCCCGGCCGCCTGCTAAGGGGGAGCCGCTGCTCCGCGTGGGCGCCCGAGGCGAGGCGCCCGATCTGGGCCGGTGCGGCGGGGGCGTGGGTCACCGCTGTCACGGGCTGGCCGGGCCTGAGCTCCCGGGGCGCAAAGTTTCGGAGGGGCCGGGCGCCTTTGTGCGGGGCGGGCGGGGCTCTCCTCCCCTCCCGCCCCG